GCGACCAGTCAGAAAACTCTGACTGATGGCCCCACCCACTGACACAGAACGACAGCGACGGAAAGATTGATGACGGAAAAAGACCGAAAGAATGATATCGCACTTCCCACTTGGCTGCAGTTGTTTTTGTATATTGTTTGTTTGGTTTGGTTATTTTAAGTGCAAGTTTTCTTTTTTTCTTCTTTTTTTTTTCTTCTTTTCTTAGCGCTCAGCGTTGGTCATTATGTTTGTCTGATTAGCTGAGTGCACAGATGATAGAGTGAACGTGTGTGTGTCGTGTGCATGCTGGCGTGGTTTTCTCATTGGGGTTGTAGGGTTTATTTTCCACTACTTTTGACATGTTACTGAGATCTGTTTGTGGTTGGGAGGGGGGGGGGAAATGCGACTGTATCATGATTGTTTTAACACACTATATCATTATTATTAATATTATTACTTTCAATATTAGTGCTACAGCTATTTTCTTTTAACAGTTCATAAAGAGAGATAGCATTTAGTGAATGAGAGGGCAATAGAGAAAAATCCAAAGACTCCGTGTGTTTGTTTCTCTGTTTTGTTTTGTTTTCTACTGGGCTTATGTGTCCATGTAAAGTGAATGAGGTGTGCCTGAGTCCATATTAATGGTTTGAATGAGTGTATCAACAGTGATGTCTTTTTTTCTGTACAGTGAAACACCTGTATCCTCTCTCTACCTCTTTTACAATAAAGACTCTCTGTATTCACAAGCAGCTGGAGATCGGTCACATTCATGGGGTCATAATGAATAAACTAAAAGACTAGGGGACAGTATAATGGGCTACTTTATTCAAGACACCAACAGTAACTGATTCATTAGCAGCACTCTCACACACACACACACACACATTATACTACCATATATATATATTATATATATATAACATAACAACATGGATCAGCACCATTTAGACTGTTTGAATTTGTTCTGAGTTGAGGACCTGTGTTTTTGTTTTTTTGACTATAATTACTCCAGTACAAAAGCAGAGAATGTTGCTCATAGCTTTAAAAGGAAACTTATCAATATCGCTGACAATCACCAACATTAGATTATTAATTTCTGAAAAGCAGTTTGACTTCTAACCAGAAGTAATGTTGCAAAACTAAACAATAGGCTAAGGATTGCATGCAACCTCCTAAAAACTACACATGTACTGTGTTTGCTCAGGAGCATTGTCTTTTTTCTTTTGTTGGGTATTTGATCAAGTTCTTGTGTAGCTTAGATGTAGGCTACTGCATAAATGGTGGTATTGTACCACAGTAGTAGTATTTATAAGTATCTAAATAAAAGTAATAATCCTGTTTTAACTGATATGCCAAAAGTTTTAGCAAAAATATGTCCTTAAAGTAGTTACAGTAGTACTCAGAATCACATATGCAGAATCATATTTATTATATTATTATTACAATAGATCATAACGATAGGCATGCATCTGTATATTTCTTACAGCAGCTAGTGATTTTAATTACTTATTAATAACATCATCAAATATTAATATTTTAAAATCTTCAAAATAATAAGTAAAGTTTTAAAATAATTGGGTTGGAGAGCATAAATATTAAATTCCCATCCAAATTATAGCAGCAGTAGAAAATAGAAATCATATAAATACTTAAAGACTGTACTTTAGTAAAGTACATGTGTAAATGTAAAAGTAAGATTGAGTGTATTCAAGTCCAAAAAACTAAAATTCACTATCTTTTAAATGTAGATGCAAAATAAAATAAATAAGCACATGGTAATAGACCTCCTCCAGAGTGAAGAGAAAAAAACCTTAGAATTTAGAGTTTTCGGATTATGCCAACATATCTCATTATCTGAAATTTTAATCGTGTTTAATGTGAATTTCAACCACTCTGGTACACTCTCTCGTTCTCTGGTCTCAGGAGCTTGCAAAGATCGGACAGGACTTCTGTAAGTTTTTTTGAAGACGTTCCACCTGCCATCAGAGAGGACATCTTTTAAGTTTCTTTGCTTTCTTTCCAACCTCCTTAGACGGCCATGACCTGGATGACTGAGAACCTACACAGACATATCTTGCTCTTTCTTTCTTTCTCTCTCTCTCTCTATCTCTGTCTCTGTCTGTCTGTCTGTCTCTCTGTCTGTCTACTCACTCACACACACACACACACACACACACACACACACACACACACACACACACACACACACACACACACACACACACACACACACACACAACACACAACAAACAACACACAGTAAATGCAAAAATAATATATAGCAATAATCAATAGCATCAATAGCTTCTGATCAGCACCATGGACAGCAACTGCAGCCAGAAGCTGGGGGAACAGAAACTTTTACTTAAACTTATACTATACACTGACATCATCTTCTTCAACCAGGCTCAGTGAGGAGGCATCTTACCAAACAAGCATAGCCTACTCATGATCATCATCATCAGTTATTTCCAGTGGACCAGCTTCTAGATACTTCACACACACATATTACAGTACGAGTCCATATTTTCAACATATACATAAGTAAAAATGTTTCAGTCCTTTACTAAAAACAAACCACTCACCTGTTCATTTTAAGGCCTTGTGCTCAGCAAAGTCACTGACAACACTGCTTAATTCCCAAGTCCTCGGGGAATACTTGGTTTTTGTTGCTGTTGTTGTTGTTTTGCTTTGGTCAAACATAAATGAAAACAACTCTGCTGGATACTTTTCAAAAAAGAAATGGTTGCATAGTTGATATCAACAAGTTACAACATATTACCACCACAATATACAGACAGCAAGATCAGGGAACACATGTAATATGTTCCCCAGCATGTCTCCCGCCATTAAAACACAACTTAATCAGTGGAGTGGAAAATTGAATCTGCAGCTAAAATTTAATTTGTAAGCTATATGCCGTACTGCATAAATATATGCTATACTCAAAGTTGGACTTTGAGTCTCAAGATAGAACATGACTTAAACATATAGTTGTTATAACCTTTCCACTTCAGCATAATGATGTGAATAGAAGTGTCATGTTACTATCAAGAATGCCATTGGATAGTTATATAGAGAGGGTCCTTTTTACTACTGAGCCCTACAGGCCATGTGCTCACTGCCTCATCCAGGGTAATATCTTTGCTTATTGTCCAAGTTTGAAGTGCTTTTAAAATATATTTTACTGTATATAAAGCTTTTTCATTTTGAATTTATTGAACGAAAAATAATAAAACTTTTGCAAAGGAATCAATACCACATGGACAGACCAAAAGGTAAAATTATAACAGCTCCTTTATACCCTTTGTGCGGATACAGTCTTTGTCTATTCACATGAAGTTCTCACCATCATGTAAGCAACAGCCTGATAATGAAGTGGGTGTTGACCTTGAATTACACTTAGTTGCTTCCCATCTTTGCTCAGTCCTTTGTACAACAAAGTCAGAATTACATATCAGCAGTACACAGAGGTTAGATGAACTGAAGCATTAACATTGCAGTCACTGATTAAGAGCCATTTTTGTATCCAAATGTGCTGAGTAAACCCAGCTTCAATTTTGAGTGTTTTATACTTTGCTTAAAAATGAAACAGGAAACATTAAATTATATTTTTTTACAGTAAAAAATAAAAAAAAAAAAATAAAATACTCTTCCTTTGAACTGTCTAAGTAATCAAAAAACGAATCTGAGACTGTGTGCCATCACGTGGGGTGTGGAGTTCAATCCGGAATCATAATTAAAATTTCGCATGTAAATTGTGGTCTAATGTAATTAAAGAATGATAATGAATCCATATGTGGGACCTCTGGGGCTCCATGTTCTCCAGCCTGGGAACCACTGCCTCACACGTTAAATTAAAAGGGTGTCACGTGGGGGGTGTTCCCTGCTTTCCCACGGTCACTTTCCAAGATCAAAGGATTTGCACAAGTAAAGGTCGAACAACTGCGGGGTTAAACGGCGCGTCAGCACGAGACAGGGGCCCAAATGGCACGCGTGGTCCATTGTGACACGGAGGTGTCAATGCAAAAGTTTAGGCTTCTTGCACGCTCCCCCTGCGGGGGTGACTAACAAATGCAAAAGTGTGAAGTGTGAATAAGGAGGTGTCGGTATTCGCTCTAAGGAACAAGTTTGAATAAGATAATATATTAAAGCACATGCAAATGGTTTTCCGAAATCTCTACCAAAACAATTTAATATTTCCCCCAACTTTTAATGGGAAGCAACGATGGCGCACGATTTAGCGTTTAAGTAAACGTGGGATAAAATGCAGTTTAACAACAATCAACCCCCAATCTACTGCGAATAGCGAATATCATATTATTCGTTTTACACACGTCAATGCCTTCTCGTTAATCATAAAATAAGAAACATTTAGTCCAGTTTAGACAATCTCAGGATTAACAGGACTATTGTCCTAACTTGCTTTTGGTTGTTTTCTGTTTTTCTGTTTTAGCTTTTCTGTAAAGCACTTTGTGATTTTTGTCTTGAAAGGTGCTATATAAATAAAATTTTACCTTACCTTTTTACCTTATTTAGAATTTCATTCACTGCGTAACCAGCTCAACGGGTACAGAGACGGCAAGGAAAAGTCAAGTTCCTTTAAATAAATCAGATTCTGTGTTGACAATACACGGGACTTCATAGAATATAAGACCCCAAATCTTACTGAAATATAATGGGATTAAAGCGCAGACACATGACCAGAAGCTCCCGTGTTAGCGTTATAGGAAATACAGTTTCCAACACTCAAAATCTGGTTTTGTCACTTGGGGTAAAGGAGCTGTTGTGAAGCATTTCATTCAATGTTTGTCACCTATAGTGTGTACAAAAATGAGTTACAAATGTCATTCTTTTTATTTAAATTATTTTTTATTGGTTATTTTTACGTGTGAGTTTTTATGCATACACGTAAAATATGCGCACATTTCTGCGCAATGGGGAAGATCTCCGTGTTTGGTGAATATGAGACTGTGATAGGAGATTTAAATTAATTAAATCTTGGTTGGGTTTTAAGGAACGACGAGGTTGAGATACCAGGAGGAGGGGTTTGGAGGAGGAGGAGTCTTTTAGCTACAGGGAGTCAGTAAAAAGAAGTCGAAAGGAACAAGAGCCCCATTACCTGATCGGTGTCAGCCTGAGAAAGGTGTTAGAGCATCTGCAACCATGAAGCTGCTACAGGAAGCCGAGGAAGCAACAAACAATAAAAAGGTAAAAAAAGAAAAAAACAACTTTGATTTTTTTTTATTCACATGGGCAAATGCAGCCACTTTGACAAAGATTCTAATGAGGATTTAGTCGTTTGTTTCAATAAAATTGGAATTTAGACGCAGCTGCGATTATATTTCGTTTGTTTCTCGGGTAACGTCTGATCAATTTTGCATCACTTGTAACACAGAAATTAAAACAAACAAACAAAAAAAACACTTTTAGACTTTTCTTTTCCTTTTGCGATAGTTAATAAAATCTCAGGTGGAGAAACGTCGAAGGGACAGAATGAACCGCAGTTTGGAGTGTCTGAGGACCATGTTGCTGCAGGAGCCGCAAGAAGTAAGATCATATTTTAGTTCTCTTTGAATATGGTTCATGAACTTCAGTACTGTTTATTTATTAATGTTTTCTTTTTTTATGTAATGTAAAGATCAGTTAACTTGCTGCTCTCATGCAGGGGTCCACTCAACACCGAGTGGAGAAAGCTGAGATACTGGAACACACAGTCCTCTTCCTCCAGAACAATGCCAAAGGAGACAAGACTACAGGTGGACGTGGGGACCAGAAACGCCCCTTCCAGGACGGTTTCTCCACTTGCCTGCAGACAGCTGCGGGGTTTCTGGGCCCCGAGGGGAAAGGGTCGGAGCTCGGATCGGCGCTGCATGCAGCTTTTGCCGCTCGTTTGGCCCGTTCACACTCACAGCCCGAAGGTCTCCAAAGCAGAAACTTTTTGCCGCACGCAAAGTTTATTCTGCGGATGCTGAGGCAGAAGTCCAAGCTCAAACTCAAACAAGCTCAAGCACGTGCCTCAGGGGAGAAACGTTTGATCCGACCTTACCCACTCCCACTCCAACAAAGGTTTCCCAGAGTCCCCAAACAGCCTCAGAAACAAAGAGAGTCCGAGATCAGAGCAGAGAGAGGAGCGACCAAACAGAGCTCAGCCCAGAGCTCCCCCTCCAGCCACACTTTGTGGAGACCTTGGCCCTGATCACCAGGCAGGGACTTCAGAGCTATCAATGACTATAGACTATTTAACATAAACACTCAAAAATATTTAACAATGATTGTTGGTATCTATTTTTTGTAACTGAAAAGGATAGGTGTTGTAGTCTTATAAAGACGCAGAACCTCAGATCCTGTAAATAATGTAGCTAAATGTATGTTTTCTACCTGCGCTGTATGTGTGATAGGGTTAACTCACTGTTTTAAATACTTTTCAATAAGCTCTGTCAGTGGGGCATCCATTTAATCTTCTTACACAGGGACTCTACCGCGGGACACAGGTGAGCTGGATCAGCCCAGCAGTCCGGCTGGGATTGCTGCGCTGAAGAGCGAGTGAAGAGGTGAGTTTCACGAAACTCAAGAGCTTCTATTCTCTTTTATGAACTGCTGTGACTGAGTGTCCATACATCACATTTCCAGGTGTGGAAGCCCAGTGTTTGAGGCTGGGAGACCCACGCAGCTCCTCATATTCACCTCTCTGCTGGCAAGAGCGACATCTGTGTCTCTGTGTAGGCTACAACATCACTTGTATTCAATCTGACGTTAAATCTTGTCTTTTTTGCACAATAATTTATTCTGGATTCTCCCTATGGTGAGCTGTACTCTTTAAAATAAAAAGACTAAAAAAAAACTACAACAACACGTGGTGTGATTATTTTAAGATTAAAAGAAATCCGGAAGACTCTAGTCTGCGGTTGCTCTGACAGCTCCCTTTAGTCCGGATCAGAGGTGTGAAGCTCGACCTCCTGCAGAGTTACATCCTCCAGGTGTGAAATCTGAGCATGAAGCTCTGCAGCATCTCTCACTTCAAAGACCTCACAGAGAGCCTTCTGTATTCACTGAAAAATAAGATAAGATAAGACTTTATTGATTCCACAACGGGGAAATGTTTGCGTCACCTCAGCTCAGGTACAGATATCAGATAAAATGTTTATATAACTAGGAAGACTTAAGAAATCACGTATCATGTATTTTTCCCCTCATATTCATCATTTATATTCTTTTGTTGTTGTTTAGTTTACATTTTTCTCTACAATAATTTCTCCTATTATTAACCTGTAATTACACTGACGTTAGACTGGACCTCTTTGAGCTAATACCACTGGATTAGTTCACATTCTTTTCCCAACTAGAGGAGCATCGCATCTTTGTCTTTATTCCTTATTTGAACAATCTGTCACGATAGCTTATCAGTGTATATGACAGGATGGAGCCGAACATCTGACACTGTTTATGGCTCTCGTCCGCGTTTGTTTCTCTAGTGATTAGCGTCTATCCCATCACCAGCACCACCCTCAGCTGCTTAGAGGCCATTTGTTTTCTACGCGTGTCTGGTGTCATGTCCCAGGAAGCAAAACGCGTCTTAACACCTCATGTAACCCTTTGAGTTTCAGGCACAGAGGAAGCTTATCTTTTATTTGCCACAGTTTTCTGGTGAGAAATTTGTCTGACTAAGCTTGTTCTTTTAGTCTTTTTTCAGTGAGATAACCAAAAACAAACCAACATAGTAGTAGACTGTCTACACATGAAGTGTATTTGCTCATTCGCCAAAAGAATCTTTGTACTAACACACTAAATATCTATTTAGGGTTGCTTAGATATTACTGTCCAATGAGCTCAATGAGACAGATTTCTGTGCCTTTTTTGTAGGAAAACACGAGGGAAGCGGCTCTTTACAACACAATTTCGAAATGAGAACGTCATTAGAGACTTTGAAGCTCTCAAGTGGCTTCACTTAATCAGGCGGGCTTGCCTTATTACAACATACAATTACTGTGACCCTGGAGTTTAGTGCAGTGTCTTCAACTGCTGGTGGCCTGAGACCTTATGTGATCCAAGCCCTTAGGTGTGCTCAATTTACAAGGATTTAAAAGATTCATATTGTCTGACTCGGGAATAGGAACTAAACTGGTTCGATTTCAGTTTTAAAACAGAATAAGTTGTGTTGATTAAGTTTTTTGCCAAAGCAAAACAATTGTGTGCAACCAAGGTCCACTATTGAATTAAGTAAATCCAACATGCTCTTTTTTCAGTGTACTTGTTTGATAAAGTACACTTGATGAAGTTTAATCTCGTGTATTTAAGAAGTTACGGGGACTGAATGTTAAAAAAAACAAACTAAAATAAAGAGTGCAGAATTTCGCACACAGCATACAACTCGAAAAAAAATTAGTATGAATTATGTGGATGAAAATCGATGGATGGGTTGTTGTGCATTTCTGAGTTGGTCAGGTGACTGATCTTAATAGAAAAGTATTAATTATTATAATTATTATTATAATAAAAAAAGTCATGCAGACAGAAGTTGGATACGTGTCATAGTGGGAAACGTTTTATAGTCGTGGGAATGTGGAGCAGAAGGCTCAGTCGTTGTTTTATTACCTGTTAAAATTGATGCTTCATTGTGTCCTTGGAGGAGAGGTGGCTCTCGGGTTCCCACGCACAGCACATGCTGGAGGTTCTCATGCGAGCCGAAAGTTCTTTTTTGTTTTTGTTTTTTTAAATTTTCTTTTGTTTTGTTCGTGTGACTCAACAATTTGAACAGTTACGCGTAAAAAGATTTATTTTACTTGGATCGTAGATTTCTGTCAAAAATACTTTGTATTTCTGTATAGTTTTTTATATTTATATCCTGTTCATAGCCTGTACATCGCTTGTACTCACCACAGCATGTACATACTTATAGTTATAGCATATTCATAACATACGTTATAACATACCATAATAGACCCATTTCTGTAATATACTCACATATCTATATTATATATTGTAATATATCTATATCATGGCTAAAGCACTTCTGGATGGATGCAAACTGCATTTTGTTGCCTTGTACCTGTGACATGTGCAATGACAATAAAGTTCTATTCTATTCTATTCTATTCTATTCTATTCTATTCTATTCTATTCTATTCTAATATAATTTCTCAAAAATCCAGAATGAAAACTTGAATTAAAATTGAATTCCTTGCAAGTTATATAAGATCAGAAAATGCGTAAGCTCACGCTCAGCTCTTCTGTTGCATGTGATCACCTCACCTAACTTTCTCGTGGGAATCGGGCGGAAGAATGTCACACTTTATTACCTGTTAAAATCGATACGTCGTAATTAAGAGTATCTGGAAGAAGAGGTGGAAATCAGTTTCCCATGAGCAGGGCTCCTAAAAATTATGCATTCAGCTGGATTGATACACAGACTTCTGACCACATTTTTTTAAGGCTTTCAAAGCTGAGGAAAACGGCTGCCAATATTCTGTACCGAGGGAATGATTATTAAAATGTGAAGAGTTGTGAATAAAAAGAAAAAAGTCAGACTACTACTGAAAGCTTTTATCCTTGAATGAGTTTTTGTATTTCGCGTTTTGCGGGGCTCCATAAACATTTTCTTCCTAGCAGCGCTGAACCGAGAACCTGTCGCCTGAGGACACATCTCATTTCTCCTTCCATTATGATCACCTGGAAGTTTACAGTCATTTGTCTGATCTCACGCTGTTTGGGCGGATGTTGGTCACACATGTAAATAACCCTCACACGAGCTGATAACACCTTTCACAGGCGCGTGCAGCTCTCATTTATCGCAGCAGCTGCACGCGCCGGAGGATTAATGATGGGCTCCCACAGCGGCGCCTTTCAGTCTGTATTCATCTTTAGATTCTTGGTGAAATCCCCTCGTAACCGGTAAAGATGATCCTGGAGTATAGAATGACTCAAATGCATTGATTACACATACCTATCATATCCCATATCAGTGACCAGCAGTGGTGAAAGTGGAAACAAACCTATAAGTTGTGTTGTGATCAGTATTTATCCTGTCACCAAACAAACAAAACAAAAATCTGAAATGTGTAATTAGTCCTGTCTGTTGTAATTTATGGCCCCTGACTGATCCCCAAAAATGACATTATATTATTTGATGCTCATAAAAAACACAAAGTTGTGTCTTATTGTCCTGAAGTTTGCTAACTTGATTTTATTTACTGGTCTCATCTGTTACTTACTTTAGCTCACAAAGGCAGTTTTAGCCTGCAGGTTAGCTAACCTGTGGTCTACTGACTGCACTATTTAAGATGCCTTTGGTTATTGTGATCCTGAGTTAAATGCAAATCGAGTAACTCTTTGACGTGTTTGTTGTTTTTATAATTATATTTCATATTTATTTGATGATATTTCCTTTTTACTTACATTGAACTGTCAAAAAACTAAACAACCATTCTTTCACATAGTGGGAAATAAGCTCAGTGGTCATGGGATTAATATACTTGCTTCACGTGTTGTTAATGTGATATCATTCTCTCAAAAATTCAAAACCAAAATAAAGATTGGGGGTGTTTATTGCAGATTGTAAAACATGTTGATCTTTTTATAGTAAGCAGGCAATGTTGCTACGTGTTATGTTTAGAAACTACTGGCTGAAACTAGAGTCCTGGAATCCCAGTAATGTGCCAAGTTGCGCGTAAAAAGTTAATTTTATGCACGTCTCATGCACGAGACTCGGACCTTTAAAACACCAACTTCGTCAAATAATAAATTCCTCTAGTTTTGGTGACAAAACGTCTGAGTCAAAAGTCCTGATGGACTGTGTCCATCATGCTGATAGAAGCTTTAAACATTTGGCGTATAATATTGCTGTAGCGAAATATTAACATGTGATAATCCTTTATGACTACGCCGCATGATACAATCTGTACATTAATATATGTGATTTTCTATATATGATACAGTGATTTTTAAAGACAACAGCCATATTTTTGTGCATCAACTGAAGCACTAACTGAGAAATAAGCACAATAAAAAATGAAGACTGTTGCCATGGTAGCAGGAATGTTACCGTAACACAGAAGCTAAAACTCAACTGTGACATCACCTTGACGTCATGGCTGTTCCTTTGATCTTTTTTTTTTATCTGTCAGTTGATTTGATCTGTTTCCCTTAAATAGAAGTTATCCCCCTTACACGCAGCACCTTGACAATACGTCGGACAAACCTCTGTTTTGCAGGATTGTAAAACTAAACGTAGGATCGTACTAGACAGTTTCTGTAATCTCCACTGAACTACCTTTATAGCAAGCATGCCTCTCTTGCTTTTGACTCATCATGTGATTCCTTGGGCTTTTAAAAAGGCTCGACAGCTCGTGAGATCTGCTCTGGCACAACCTCAGGCAGAGTCTTGTCCACCTAATACTGAGACAGATTCTGTAGCCAACAGGCTCACAGATCAAAGGTCACTGAATTACACAACAGGCTTGGAGTGCCTGAGTGAAAATCAGCAGAACACAGCTGAACAGCACACGTCTGTCATCAGCAGAGATAATTTACTGAACAATACTTGTTCTACACATGTGGATACACCATGTGATGAATCCTGTGAGCAATTTCACAGAGGTTCAGCAACCGTGACAACTTTTCTCAACATGGCGGTAGATGGCCTTTCGAAAATCAGAGGAATACTTCGAATTTTATTCCCTTTGACTAGAGAAGATTTTGATTATTCTACCAAAGTCGCGGTTGAGATAGGGCCAATAGGAGGACCACTTATAGTTATCACCTGTTGCTTCACTGTAATTTGTCTCATTTTCTTTAGATTTGGGGGAAACTGTCTGTTTAGACTCAAGAAAAAAGTTTCACAAGCTTTGAGCTGGGTCCATAAGAAAACTTTAGGCTCGGAGTGCCTGAGTGAAACTCAGCAGTACTCATATGAAGAGTTCATGTTTTTGACTGGCAGAATTAATTCACTCAACAATACTTGTTCTACACATGTGGATACACCATGTGATGAATCCTG